CGTGCTCTGCATCCTAATGCCTCCTTCAGAGGCCCCCTCAGCAAGCAAGGGGAGGAATTCCGCAGTTCCCTTCCCACACAGCCAAAATCGCTCATCTGTCGCCTCGGGAACACCGCATCCCACACCCCCAGCCGAGAGCCCCATCTCCTTGGCACGCCAACACCAGCCCTTCCTTCCCCTGCGGATTCTGTGCCCCCGACAGGGAATCCCACCTTAGGGGAGGAAGGAGGAAGCTTTATTTGATTTTTAGTGCCCCCCCCCAGCCTTTGACACTCGTCTGCACAGAAGTCACAGGTTATGCTGTAGCAGCTAAGCGTATGCTAGGTGGTTGGAGTTGGCTTTTAAAATGAAGGCTGCTATACAGACTTCCACTTCCCCCAATGGGAGAGAAGGAGCCTTCAATCCCAAAGCTATTCTTAAACCACAGATCATCTGCTCTGTCCGTGAGGTCTGTTCAGAGCCTAGCAGAAATGTAATTTTGCCAATATAAAGAGGCTGTACTGAATCAAGTGTGATGTCCGTCTGTGACCTCAGCACGCACAGATAGAAGCAATAGGATCAAGAGTTCAAGGTCATCCTCCGGCATTTAACGAGTTTAGAACCAGCCCGTGATGTTGGACCTTTTCTAAGAAAATGAATTTAAAAAGCAGAGGAAGGTGGAATTTACGGATATTTTCACAAAGAGCGGCTTCTTTAAGGGAATCGATTGCAAAATGAAGCACTTCGTCCACTCGAGTGTTTAGCAATGCTATCCCCTCGCCCCACCAAATACTTGAGTCGTCCCACACGGCTCCTCCTCAAGGTTTAAGATAGATTCCTTCAACAGATGCAAATCGCGGTGCATTACCCGACTGAAAAAAAAAAAAAAAGTCAAGTACGTCATTTCATTTAATTATTTCCAAGGAGTGGAGGCTGGCATGCAGTTCTGATTGATACTTGGAAAAGGACCAACAGAACCCTACACGAAACAAACAAACAAAAATTCTAGTGTATAGCAATGCACTCACTCCCTCGAAGCAAGGTGGAAACTGGTTAGGTCACAGCCACTTCAGGAGGATCAGGTGACTGCCTGCGAGGTGGGGGTGTGGTGATGGAGAGCTGGTGGGTCTTCAGACTACCTGTGTCCAGTTCTGCCTGGCTTCGTGTTTTTCACACCAAGAGGCTCTGAGGGCAGGAAGATCGTGCCCTTTCTCAGTTTGGAAACTGTCTGAGAAGTTCACTGGGTCTCAGTTTTGGGTTTTTTGTTTTGTATTGTTTTGGTGTGTTTTTTTGTAGCCCCCTCCCTCAGGGCTGTAATTGCATCTTACAACAGAAGTTCCTGGTACTCCCCTCAGGCCATCTTCTCCATTTATTCCTCCCCTCCTGAAATGCCTTTATTATCTAAAGCAACTCCCCTCCCCAGTGCACCCTCCATCATATTATTCAAGGCCCCCTCCCCCAGAACCCTTCTATGGAACCATAGGCTGTATTTTTTTTTGCTTACTGGCTGTCTCCTAGTGTCTCATGGACACCCAGATATGAGCTCCATGAGAACATGACTTGTCTGTCTTGTCAGTCTCCAGCATCCACTCATCATTTATTGAGTTCCTGCAGTTTAAGTGAGAGTTCCACCCATTAGTAACCTGCAAAGGGCTGGGCCAGCAGGAAGGTCTCAGCAAATGTCTGCTGGACTCCAGTTCATTGATTTCCATTCACGAACAAACCGGACGGCCTCTGAACCACTCACTTGCCTTATGGGAATGGCTATGAAACGTAGGTTTAAAACAAAACGAAGGCAAAACTACATCGGGTGACACAGATGAGAATGGCCTATATAATCTCATGGGCACTGCTACCACATTCCATTGCCCTTCTGGAATGTTCTTTGCAAGTTTGTGTTTGTTTGTTTGTTTTTTACTGAAGGCTGGAATGCTTCCTTAAACTAATAGTTTGTTTTTGTTTTCACTCATCATGGGCTCCAGGCATACCAAATAGGCCTTTGTTTCCTCTGTCTGTTGGTATCCCTCAGACCCCTTGCTTAGAGGTTGGCAAAACTTACAATGAACCCAGACTTCCAAAGACAAAGTCCCTGGTTACTTTTATTTAGAAACAGAGTTGGGAGAAACATAAATAAAAGATTTATCTCAGCTAAAAAGAAGAAATAGGAAGTATGTGGTGGAGTATTCCCTTGATTCCAGCACTCAGGAGGCAGAGGCAGGCAGAGTTTGGGACTAACCTGGTCTACACAGTGAATTCCAGGCCAGCCACAGCGACACAGCAAGAACCTGCCTTTTAAAAAACGAGAAAATTGAGGCTCAGTTTGTTTTATGCACAGTGCTGTACTCACTTCTTGTTTGCAATGCTTCAGTAAGAAAGGTTACTCTGTCTTCCAGCAAGGCTCACAGCCATGTACTTAATCACTTGAGGACAGGAAGAGAAGAGAAAGAAGGGCGCCTGCAATGCAGAAGGATGAAGTACGATCAGAGGAAAAGAGGACACCAGTTAATAAAAGGCAGGTTAGATTAAAAAGCTATTCAGATAGAAAAGCCAGGAGGTGACTTGCAAAAGAGGCCTGCCTGGCCAGTTCTCAGCCCTCTGCAGCCTCCTGTGAAGTGGTGGAGGCCACAAGAGGCAGTCTGCTCCATATCTGGACAGCTGTAATCATTAAAACAGCCCCATTCTGGGCAGAATCCACCTTCTCTTACATTCGTTCTTATTTAGCTCTCCAAAACCACCCTGAACAAGCTTAATCTTCCAAGTAGGTGATCCCACTGAGTATGTGACGCTCTTTATTGCATTAATGTCCCCTTTCCTAACTATGAAGAGCAGTGGGTACTAGCACTGTTTTCCTAAAGCCTGGGTCCCAGTCCCTCTGCACCTCTGGACACGCCCAGTACTGAGCACACCACTCTGAGCATGACCCACCTGCATCCAGAACTCTTCCATTTACACATTGTAGTGTTATTGTCGAACTCAAACCAAGTCCTTTACATGAAAACCATAGTCCTGTTAAATCCATTTATGGTTTACTTAGCTTGTTGATTTTTGTGTATCCCAAGCACCGAGCCTACCTATAATTGAATGTTTTGTGCTTATCTTTTTGAATCTTCATTTCCAAACAGTCTTTTTAAAAAGTTTTTTTTTAATATGAATAAGTGTTTTGCTTGCATGTATGTCTGTACACCACGGTGTGCCTGGTACCCTTGGAGGCCAGAAGAAGGCATCAGATCCGTTGGAACTAACTGGAGTTACAGATGACTGTGAGCCACCATGTAGGTACTGCATATAGAACCTGGATCCTTTGGAAGAGCAGCCAGTGATCCTAACCACTAAATCATCTCCAGCCCACAGATTTACTTTATTTTAACTGTGTGTTTGTGTGTGTATTTGTGAGAGGATATGTGCATGTGAGTGCAGGTGTCTGAGGAGCCCAAAAGAGGGCACCAGATCCCCTGGGGCTGGAGTTATAGCTTGTTGTGAGCTATCCAATATGGTACTGGAAAGGAGCACAAATCCTCTATAAGAGAATTAAGTTCCCTCTCTCTCTCTTTGAAAAATTTAGACTTGTGCTTGTTTTGGCAGCACATATACTAAATTGGAACAATACAGAGAAGATTAATATGGCCCCTTCGAAAGGATGATATGCAAATACATGAAGCATTCCATATTTGTTTGTTTGTTTTTCGAGACAGGGTTTCTCTGTGAGCTTTGGGACCTGCCCTGGCTGGCACTCGCTCTGGAGACCAGGCTGGCCTCGAACTCACAGAGATCCGCCTGCCTCTGCCTCCCGAGTGCTGGGATTAAAGGCATGTGCCACCAACGCTCAGCTGCATTCCATATTTTTATGATAGTTTTTGGTCCATCTTATATTTTATTTTGTCATGTTTGGTTATGTCTTAGGAGCCTGTTCTTTTCTAAGGAGAGACAGAAAGGAAGAGGATCTGGAGGGGAGGAGAGGTGGGGGAACTGGAAGGAGTAGAGGGAGGGGAAACTACAATCAGGATATATAAAATGAGAAAATAATCTATTTCCAATAAGAGGAAAAATGAGAAAAATGTAGATTTATTTATGAGTGTCTTGCATCTTATGTATGTGCATTACATGTGTACCTAGTACCCTAGAAGCCAAAAGAAGGTATGGGACCTCCTGGGACTGGAGTTAAAGATGGTACTGCCATGTGGGTGCTTGGAACTGAACCCAGGTCCTCTGCAACAAAAAGTGCTCTTTACCACTGAGCTGTCTGTCCAGCCCCTGCCCCCAAACATTATTTTAGTGCTATATCCTGGATTTGATTTACACACAGTTTAACAAGCAGGATGTCTATGTCACTATCCAATAGGCCTTTTAGTGATTCATTCCAGGTTAAAAATAACTAATGTGATTCTTCAATTGTTATAAATATTTTTTAAGATTTATTTATGCTTGTACGCCTTTATGCCAGAAGAGGGCCTCAGAGCCACTGTAGATGCTTGTGAGCCACCACGTGGGTGCTGGGAATTGAACTCAGGTCCTCTGGAAGAACAGCCAGTGCTCTTAACCACTGAGCCATCTCTCACACCCCCATTATACATCTTTTGACCAGAGGTTGCAAGGTCAAGAAAGTAAAGATCCTAAAAGGTGTTCCCGCCTACTTATCCCCTGACAGTCTGTCATACAGAGCATCACCCTTCCTTTGGTTGATGTAGTCAGCTGACTTGAAGGTCATGTGCCATGAGAAATGCCCATTTAAGCACAAGGACCAGATTTGGCATCGTGAAATGCTTACACAGGGAGGCCAGCAGGAGCCAGGACCTCTGACAGGATCCCATCTGCCACCTCTTGCTTGCTCTGGCTAAGTGAAATGATGGCTGGAAAGGCCACATTATTGAAATGCTGCCTGCAAATTGGAGATCCTTCTGCTCCAGGATCCCGAATGCTAGGATTATAGGTGTGCGCCGTATATTCTTGGCTGTTCTGGAGCTATGCTCTGGAGTCCTTGCCCACAACAGGCCTCAGAACTCCATTCTGCCAGTCTTTGTGTGAAGACAAGTTCACTCTAGCCTAACTCATGTCACTGAACACACACTAGCACTCTGTGACCATCATTGTGTCTGCATACTGCAAAACTAAAATCGGAGAAATCTCAACAACTTAACAGAACATCTTCTCTACAATCTTCCTCACCCTGCCCCAACCCCTACATCAGCAAGTGTCGTCCTCATGGCTGACTGTGCAAAACTCCAACTCTTAGCTGACACTTAAGAAGGAGGAACTTCCTGGGAGCAGACTGCAGACTAACAATGGCCTGTCAGCTAGCTATTCAAGCAAAGTCACCTCCATCTCCTGACCATCCCAGGTGGTGGTAGACGAGGTTCCTAGCCACTACAGTTTGTAACTCATCAGTTTAGCAGGCTGGTTTTACTTATTTATTTACTTATTTCTGAGACAGATCGCCCTATGTAGCCCTGGCTGTCCTGGAACTCAGAGAGATCCGCCTGTACAGTACTAGGTATTGCAATTTGGTGCCTCCCTCAAAGCCCACACTCACGCCACCACAGTAACTGGGCCTCCCTCCGACTCCTTTTCAGCCTCTCCCTGTGCTCTTCTCTCTACATAACTCTGAATCCTGGGTGTCCCAAGGCCCAGGACTTGCCATTCGCCCCTATCTCCAATCTTCCCTTTCACCCAGTGCTTTAACCCCACCCACACACGCATGGCACACTCATTTCCATGTGCAGACTAAAAACTGAGCAGCCAGCCTACAATCTCCGTCCATCCAAGCCATGAGTTCTGTGTGAGAGTAACAAGAGGAGGGTCAGTGTGTGGTCATGTCCTTTTGAGAAGGGAGCTATAAATAATACAGCATATCCAGGGCCAAGAAGTTCAGTCTGGGGGTGGGGTGGTATAACAAACGGGCAGACTCACCTGTGAATGGTAACAAGGCACATCACTCACTCATAGTCATCTATCTTCTTACAAAAAATTTTAAGCCCCAGAAGATCGGGCATCTTCAAGAAATAACAAGTGACCAGATAAATGTGTGATCATCATTGGCTCTGAGACCCTTTATCCCTCCCCCGTGGGTGTCGCCAGCATCTAGCACAGTGCCCAGCTTGCCCCACGTATCAAACAAACCTAATTAATGAAACCCTTTTCTTTCTTTCTTTGCAGCTGCAGCTCTGAGGGGGTTGGGGGAGGAACCAAAGCATTACCATCTTCAGGAAGAAAGAAAAAAGGAGAGACAGACAGAAAGCCATATAGCCGCGCAAAGTATTGTGGGATGGCTTTCAAAGCTGTGGCTCCCTGACAGGGGAATGCACTTTAAATATAGCAGCAATCTGCAACCCCCCCCCCCCATCGGCTTGCTCTTTGATTTTTGTGGAAACATTTCTCTCCCCTGTTCCTCCCCACCAGCTGCCCGAAGGTGCTTAGACCTGAAACGGTGGCATTCCGAAGCCCAGAGAGGGCTCTGTCTCTTAGCCCAACCAAAAAATCAGTGACGGAACACATTCTCACTAGTGAATGATGAGACAGACGCTCCATGGCAGGCTAGAGGCTCAGGGCCCCACTAATGCCAAGGCCCTGCTCCCTAGTAGGGGTAGCAGCAGTGAACAGGTAGAGTTTCGGGCTGGCAGGAACCCAAGGACAGACAGAGCAAGCAGCAGATAGGGTTGCCGTGGACAAATTCCTAGAACAGGATCCCTCCCTTGATGTCCCACAATAGCGGAAAGGGTGACTGGCAGACGGGTGAGCACGCTTAGATGTCTATTGTGATCCTGCTCTAGCCACCCAATCTCTCCACAGATCCCTGGGGTCTGGCTGCCCGCCTGAGTCACCTTGTGAGTCCTCATTTCGGCGAGGGGGAGGAGGGGAACGCTGTGTATCCTGAGAGAAGTGTATCTGACATGCATGATCCGTTCCATCTGGGAGAATCATGAGTCCCATCTGGCTCTAGCAGATCCCAGGAAACTGCCGCTCCTCCTTCGTCTCCCCTAGAGAGGAAGACCCCTGCAAACTTCTCACCTAGGCCCTGCCTTGTTTCCATAGATACCCTGCACCCATGGGTCTGGGTATCTATCCACCTTGGGGTCGGAGGGTCACTGGAGACCCTCTGCAGAGGGCAGGCCTCTAAGGAAAATATGGGGTAATTAATCTGTGGCCCTGGTTTAAGATGCTGAGCATCCAACTCGGAGCATATCGGATGCTCACCAACTGAGTTGCCTTGCAGCTTCAAAAGCCCACTTCCTGCCCCTGACCTTCTCCTATCACCCAGAGCAGGGCCTGGTTTGTAGACATAGCTCCCTGTAGAAGGTCCTCTGGCGTGCCTCACTTGCTGGAGTTCCCAGATACACAACTGTCTCTTGGCTGCTTTCCACCTCAGGCGGTGGCAGAACCTCTCACCCCATGACCTCCCACCCCTACCCCCAAGTCTTCTCAGGTGGGCCCGGCAAGCCCTGGCAGGGGCTGGGCAGAGCCCCAGGAAGCCTAAGCTTGGCTGATGATGTTTGCAAACACTGGAAGTTTCTCTCCCAGTGACTCATCAGAAGAGAGTGGAGTCCCTCCTTCTTCCTGGAAGGCAGCGCAAGGCCAGCTCCAACCCCACCCCACACCCCCAAAAGTAAACAGCCCTCACACAGAGCTTTCTCTTCAAAACTCAGATATCACCCCAAAGATCAGCCATGGCAACTTGAGGGAGGGGACAGTTTGAGGCCACAGAACAGCCAGGAAGAGGCCTCTCTGACCCAAGGAAAGGCAAGAAGGGGCTAGAGGCACAGCTGAGCCTTCACAAGCCTGTGCTGATGTGGGGCATGTTTTCCAGAAAAACACCTGCCCCCTTTTCTCATCCCCAGCCCATATATATATATGTATGTATGTATGTATGTATATATATATATATATATATTTTTTTTCCCACTTCTGAGACAAGATCTCATGTAGCCCAGACTGGCCTTGAATTTGCCATGTAGTTGAGGATGACCTTTAACCTTTGGTCCTCCAGCTTCCACCTCCCCAGTGCTGGGATTACAAGCATGCACCACTATGGAGTTTATACAGCTCCAGGGCCTGACCCAAGGGTCTTGTGCATGTTATGCAAGCACTTTAGTAACTGTGTCCCCACCCCTTCTCATCCTTTAAAGTTACCAGCATCTTAATAGAAAACCTGAGCTAGGAACCATGGCAACGTTGCAGCAAGGATTTCAATGGTACACAACACAGCCCTAGGAGACAACCAAACACAAACACAATCAGGCTGATTCAGATCAAAAGGAAGAAGGAAAAAGGGAAGACAGAAGCGGTCTTTGGCAAACTTGTCACGGATGCACTGTGCTCAGGGTTCACATGTCACCTCTTTCCATCCTTAGGACAAGCCTATCTATCAGGTGTCATTGTCATCTATCTTTCCCCCAGAATCTGGTAACTAACTAGTTCTCAGAGAGGCTACCATTTGCTGAAGTCATGGTACTTAACAACTCTTTATTCAAGATCCCGGTGCGGTGGTGTGGTTCACTCATCAAAAGGATGAGGCAGGATATGTCTGCAGTAAGCTTGTGGCCAGCCTACTCACTGAGTTCTGAGCCATGATGGGCTACAAAGTCAGACCCCATTTTAAAAGTGGGAGGAGGGCTGGGTGGTGGTGGCGCACGCCTTTAATCCCAGCACTTGGAAGGCAGAGGCAGGTGGATCTCTTTGAG